TCATGCTCTTTCTAACGATGTATCACATGATGGGGGTTGCCATTTGAAATTTTTGAGTTGCCCCCCGCCCCCCGTCCCCCTGGGGGGAGTGAAGAACTGAAAAGTACCTCAAAAAGTTTCCCCCTCGATATGAGGAAGGACGCCACAAACCGCAAATCGATATCATAATTAGAACTAAAGTTATGGCCAGTGGTGCGTAACTTTTGAATAACCCTGTATAGTAACTACATCTAATAATTCATTTTATTCCATCATTCATTTTCAATTCATTAGATCTTTATGACTGCTCAAAAATCATCAATATCATATCATTTTAGGCCATTCTATTTTCGGAAGCTGAAAGGTTGCCACTCAGTGCCATTTTGTTGTTTTTTTTCAAAATTCCACGATTATTCAAAAAAATTAGCTGTTAGACCTTGCACCAAAATCGCCAGAAAGTGTGCACCCTCTGACAATTATTTTCTCAGTACCTTAATCAGGTGTTTGTATCTTGAAGTAAGACTTCGTCTCTTTAAATTCCTGAACGCTGCAAATTCCTTTTGATATGACCACTGCCATATTGTAGGATTAGAAATTTACTCAAAATGTTAGTTATTGTTGGCCATTATTTGATAATTATTTATATTTAAAACAAAAGCTGCAAATAGTAGTGAAATAATTAGATTAAATCATGCAAATGGAAACAAACTTCTTTGGCTCATTCCTATAATTACTTATCTGCACAGGGAAATCACTGGTAGATAAGCCTTTTCTAAGATGAGTCAAAAAAGTTTGTTCTTTTTGGCGTGAAGCTGTCTGAGTTTGCTGCAGTCATTCATCATATTTAAGACTTTAATCTATCCTGAGAATTCTCTGGACAACATGATCAAGTATACATACTTAATTTCCGTAAGTCAAAGTAAGAGCCCATCAACAATTTGTTTTGTACTTTATTAAGGAACTTATTCCTTCCTGTTTTTTTTTTTTTTTTTTTTTTTTTTTTTTTTTTTTAATTTAAATATAAAAGAAAATCATGTACAAGTGACTTGTCACAGTCATGGATAGGATTCTAACTAATAGAAATAAGTCACATCATTATTAGGGATGGCAATTTTCGAGAACGGATTGATTTTAGAAATTTGATTAGATTTGTTCCGGAAGAATTGAGAAGGATAAATCGGCCATAGAAACAATTTTTCATTTGATCAATTTCCTTAAATATCAAAATTAAAATGAAGACGAATGACGATCAATGTTATCTCCTTCCATGTCAGGACATTAATTTGAAGAAGAAAAATGTTTATCAATCTCCAAATATTAGTCCGATATATCTGATTTTTTTGTGCGCAAAAATTTATGTATTTAAAGATATCGACGAAAAACACCATCTCTAATCATAATTCCTACAGTGGCGTCCGAAATATTCTCCTCTACAAATTAAAGTGTAGACTAATAATGATGAACATTGTTTGAAAAACCTGATTAAGGACAAAGAGGCGGCCGTATCTACTGCAGCCTATAATATTGTGCACGCCGCTATGTTCAGAATTGTTGAAACAGCTATCTGGAAGATAACCAAGTCAAAATTTTGTAAGGCAAACTTTCCACGAGATAAGATCCCCTTGTCAAAGTTTTAACATTCCATTTCTCATTGCAGTTTATTAATTTTTTACTCAATGTGCTTTAGATGGTAGAAGATTCGTTTAATGGACTGTTTTAAAATCGGAGGGAATTATCTTAATTATGCCATGGACTTTGTCATGCATGGATTCTCATGAATCTCAATCCATGAGTTCAATCCATGATGTAGATACATAGTTCTTTTTATTTAAATACATCCTGTATTTAGTTACAATGATCCATGCGCTTGAAATACTGAACAAGTATACTGATACAGGTTTGAGAGAAATTAAATTATTCCGGGAAATCTTGCGTGTTATTAAATCACAGTTAACATTTCTTTGGTTCTATGAAAAGTTTGTCTTACAAAATGTGCCACAGTAAGTTTCTCTTGCTGAGCCACTCCTTATTTTTAAAAAAAATGGGGGAAATATCACTCTTGGCCGTCTTGAGAATTCCGAAGTGAGTTCTGTATTATATAAGTAGGAAATTGTAAAATATTGTACGTATATTATTTTAGAACATAGTCTCCTTGAAAAATTGTCCAAAGTTTGAATTTTTATAACAAAGATCTAAATGGGAAAAGTACCTATCATACTGAAATGCGTAGTTCCACTTTCTATTCTGAGCAAAAATTAACAAATGATACATTTTTTTGAAAGTTTCCCGTGCACTGTAATCACAATAAGTTGCGATTTGATTAAAGAATGTAACGTGATTTTATCGATGTCAATTTATTGCAACATTCCTGGATAAAAAATTGTGATGAATTGCAATTTCATCGCCTAAATTTGAAATTAAATTGCAATTTTATCAACAGTGATTTATCGCATTAGTATTGAACGAAAAATTGTGATAATTTGAGGTAAAATTTTGATTTTTTCAAACGCGATTTCATAGAGATAAAATTACAATAAAATCAAGAATGACCGCTTCGATGTTGATGATCCTAGCAATATTATCACCAAAAAGTCGTAAAAAAATCGCAACCTAATCTCACAATTGCAATTTTTTCATTGAAAAGTGCGTTTAGGGATTGTGTAGTATGTAATAGAATGATAAAATTAAACGTCACCCAAGTTGGACGTCTCTCTTTTTCTGTATTTCATGAGTGTCTAAATGTGTCACAAACTGTCCGCATGTAAGAAGAGAGTTTTTGTATCCTACAGCCCAACAATAATGTCTCTAGTAATTCCCTACAATTTTTAAGGTACATACTTATTATTCCAGCACTTTGAAAATCCGTCATCTGTCTTTCAAATGTTTCAGCCTCTGTATCTATATCAAAACAACAATTTTTATTTCAAATTCTGCCATTTTCCATTTGGAACTAAGCATTTCAGCACGCATTTAAATCAGCGTTTGTATATAAGATAACCAGCATGTAAATAAGATATAATGAAAAAATATATTTTGATTGAAAATAAAGTTCTTTCCCCCACAACTGAGTTTAGTTCATTCATTTGACTGCTTATCAAGTAAATTTTTTCTCTGTTGGAAAACATTTCAAGAAACGATTCTGAAGTTTTTTCCTTGGAATTCAAAGATTCGTATCATGTAATTTGATTTGACATTTCAATTGCCAAAGGCGAAACTTTGGATCTCCATTGCAATATGTGACATAACCTTAAAAAAAAAACCTTTTTATTTGTTGAAAGAGAGAGGCATTTTTATTTAAAATTTTGAGTCTCTAAGCGACAGAAAATTGGAAAAAATAATGCACCGTTGGTTAAAATACATGAAATGTTTTTAATCAAATGCATCCCCTTTAACACGAATTAACAATATAACTTTTCACCATTTTTCAGCTAAACCGCTGAAAATTCTTAGATAACTGCCTCTAAGAAAGATTTGTTAAAGGCAAGCTTATGTATTTCTACAAAGTAGTAAAGTCGAAAAGTCATGTAAATACATTTATATAGGCACATGAAATATATATTCACAGATTTTAACGATCATATAATTAGAGAATTGGCAACAGTTCCTACATTTAAATGATTTTCTCAAGAATTCTGAGGATCGAAGAGTAAAAATCAGGGTGTGTAGCAACCTGGAAAATTAGGAATCTATCAAAGAATTTTTTGGGCATCAGAAAGAACCTGGGAAAACATCAGGTAATCTGCAAACAAATAGTTGGCCGCAGAATTTTTTTAAATCACTTTCGCAGTCAGAATTTTTCATGTTTTGATTCCAAAACTGATAGAAGAATGACAGAATTTGCTCCTTGCAAATCGTCCAGGGACTTTAATTATAATTGAATGTACTGGACACCATGAAAATAAAATGTGTGTAGGTGAGTCATGAAGGAGGGATCCGGATGAAGATTCCGAAACGGGTCACTTGCACTGGTCAAAGCTTCCATAACAATCCTCGAACTTTCCATTCGTTAGGACTTCAAACAGAAGTTTCCAGTTTCAGTCTTTGGTTTTAATTGCACCTAGTTTATTTTCTCCCATAACTAATGCTTCAAGCAAGTAAAATTTCTAATGAACTGTCCTTCATTCTTGCTACTCACTCAAATTACAAAAATGTCTCATTAAACTGACCGACCGATCTAGGAAAGTCATTGAATATGCGGGCTGATTGTTATGGACATAACTACAGACAAAGATTACGAAAGGGATATAGCAGGGTCCTATGAGTGGAGGCGGGTAGTTACAATAGGCAAAGAAGGTGGATGATAGAGTAACTAAATGCAACTATGCAACTAAATGTCCATCATTTTTTCCCTTAGTTTCAGGTAGCCATCCATTTCAACCGATAGGATTGCTCCATTCTCCCTATGTCTTCTTTGTCTATCGCTTTGTCCATCAATTTCAACAATCAGCCTGCTGCCACTATAATTGTAATTTTCCTTAACATATACAATTTTTCCTAGAGATCATAAGATGATTAAGTAAAAAGACTTACGATTAATCATGAACTACTTGATGGTAGATTATAAAGTAAGAGCCATCAAACGCTTCATCACAACAGATATTTGTTCCTAATTCAGTTTAGTCAAAAAGCCATTCAAGGAAAACAAAAATCGTGGTGCAGAGCACAATCACTGACATATTCTTCAAGAACAAAACAGAAATCTGGGAGGCAAAACTTACACAAGGACAACAATTTTAGGCTCTCGCTAAACTTAAAAATACTGTCTTTCGAACCTAACTTACTGAAATTATCTTACAGTTGTTACTTAATAAATTCGTTTGTTGTGCTTCATTGAAACTCCATTTTGACTAGAACTAAAGCAGTAGAAAATTTTCACCTGATACCATTTTTCACCATGATACTGCTACAAACATACAAAATTATCGCTCAAGAGCAAATAACAATCATTATGAAAAACGTTAAAAAACACCATAATAACCCGGAAATAGTTAGGCCATAAAGGCTGTCTGCGGGCACATTTTGGATACAGTCCTTTGAATTCTGAAAATTAAAAAAGTAAAGCTCTTATTGGAAGATAGTCTTTACTTACCACTATTTAAGAAAATATTATCTTCTTGATTGAAACACATCAAACATGCTGAGGCAAGTAAGTTCAAAGGTATTGAGCAAGCTTACAATTACAAAATGATGACACATTTCTTTGATTGAGGTTCCCAAATGAATTAGCTTCAAAATCTTGATCTCTACGATTTTGGCTGCTCTTCTTGAGGGGGAAAAAAGTCAGAAGTTTTGAATATGGCAGGAGGTATGTATACTATCTGTGACTTTTTTGTTGTTGAACTGGTTGGCTCATTTCTACTCCGATCCGTGGATTTACTCTGAAAAAAAAAATTAACGACTTGATAAAATATGCATTTGTAAAATGTTCAATCTGAAATGACTGACAGTAAGTGTTGAGGATTAAAAATCTAACACATTATACAAAGTGGCAATCCTCGCAAGTTAGCGATAGGGTTTTTTGCCATACAAACCCATCCTAAATATCAATTGTTGGGCATATTTTTGAATGGAGCCCGAACAGCGATGCCGATTTGCAAGAATTTCTATAATTATACGCACATGAATGCAAGATTATAGATGGACAACAATAAGACAGAAAGAATAGGGAATTCATCAAACAGAATAAAAGAGAGGCACAAAAAAATAGAAAATGGATGGAGGTCAACAGCAACGCACCGCGTTTGAACTGAAAAAAGGAGGTTTGAAATTTACTTCCTCCTTACGAATCGATGTTGAGGACAAAGTTTAACAACTATTTTCATGTTCAGAATATTTTTCCTCAACTTAACATTTTATTAAGAGAAAATTTCCGACCAATTAAATTCGAAACTACTCCTATCTTTCCTTCCTCCAGACTTAAAAAAGGGATTACTTAGCTGCAAGTCTATGAAATTTGGTCCAAATATCCTAGTTTCCAACGTAATAAAGCAATAAATCAATTCCTTGTTCTTCTTAAAAGACTTTACTAAGAACTAATAATGGGGATTTTATTAAGCTGTCTATCTAATTCTTATTCCCTTACATTCCTATACAACTGTTCAGAAATATGAATTGAAATGAAAACAATGATGATTTTTCTACTTTTAGAACAGAAGACTTACCGAGAAGAATGGTTTCAAAATATTTTTGAAAAGACCATCCGATACTCCAATATCTAATTCTGCTTCCATAACTTGAGATTCGACAACATTCAAATCCTGATGGACACGGCCGACCAGAGCCTCCAACATATGAATTTGACGAAAAAATTCCATGAGTTGAATTCTAATCTGGTGCAAGTCTGGTATGCATGTATCAGCACATTTCTGAACTTCAACAGACATCTGAAAAAAAGTAACATTGGTGTAAGTTCAAAAAGTTGAATGTGTATTACTTTCAAAGGATAAGATATAAATTATAGAAAAACTTGTTGTCGTGCTAAGGAAGAACCCCATGTGCGCCTTTAGACGTTGCAAAATTTCCTTGGATAGAATATAAATCTTCAGGAATATCTGCGAATATTTTTCTTCAAATTTTCAGAGAATTTTATTCGCAATCAGATCCACACAATCTGAAAATTAACAACCCTCCTCCAAAATAAAAATTTCATCAGAGGAAATTTGGTAACTCTCGAATGTTCATAAGTACGGCGATTTTCCTTAGCATGGCAGCTCAGCTCTTCAGCAGGCTGATTACTGAAATTGTAGGGTAATCACAAACTCGGCAGAGAAAATTTCCTGACTTTTCCAGGTTTTCCCTGACTATTCACAGCTACAATTTGCGTTTGTATAACTGAAAATGAAAAATTTTTGGCATTAATTTCACTCCAAATAGGTAAAGCGTTTGCATCTATTTCTTCATGCAGGTGAAACTGTTAATTATGTAATTACTTGAAATTTCAATTACTCATCAAAAGTTATTCCTTTATTAACTATCTAGGGGGTAACTCAGAGATAGAGCATTGAAACCTGATCCAAACTTGTTCCCCAGTTCCCAGACTTGTAGACATCCTGATTCATGTATTTGTCTGCTAGCCAAGATTAGACTTTGATGGAATAGGTATAGCTAGACGATTATAATGCCATGTTGTTAAAGTTCACGCCACATAAGTTTAAGCACTTTTAAACTGCCACAGAAGATTGTTTGATGTCACTTTTACATGAAAAGTAAACAGAAGAATCAAGATGGTAGATCTTCTGTCGCAGTCTAAAATTGCGTTAACTTATATGGCAAGGCTCTAGGAATAATTGGATCTATTAAAGAGCCCTACATTATGCTGAATCATCGGCTAATGATATGTAGCTCCTTGGCGGCCCTTCATCATTTGACCCTTCTTCACTGGGTGAGACATTTCAGATCTTCGAAAGCCAAAGGGCTCTCTGAAGGATTGAAAGCTTCGTATCCATCCTCACCAAATAAAACCAGCGATAATTGTCAGAAATATAAATATTTACATTTACCATATTCATTATTCCACTGAATTCTTCCAATCGAGTTAGCATGTCATCTATGTTTTCTTCAATGGATTTGACCTGAAAAATAGAGAAAATTGTTAGATGTAGGCAGGACTCTTGGCAGCCGACTATTTCATTTCTTGTCTCTCCACCAGAGAGTCATTCAACACCTGGACACAGTTTCATGAAGAACCACTGAATCTGGAAAATATTACAGAACCAGGCAAAATGCGTTTTAAGGTGAGGAAGGGGATAAGATTACTATTCCACACCCTAACAGGGTTCATTTTGCATAATTTTCATGCAGCACTATTTTATTAAGGTTCTTTGTTCTCTCATGGTACTTCATTTCATTTATTGAACTACCTAACTATGGTTTTGTTTGTGCACCATTTAGTAAAAGGATCTTAAAAAGAGCAGCTACTTGTCTCAAGCATATGATGGTTAAGGTGATTCGTCAAGCTGAAGTGGCGTGGTTGAACTGGCTTGCGATATATAGCATCAATGAGATTGAAAATCTGGGTAAAATTGGAATTTGTAGCCAAAAAAAGGACTCCTGCGTATGAGCCTGGAGGGTCATTCTAAATCACAAAATTGGCAAAATGTAGGAGAATGAAAGCCGAATCCTGTCTGGAAAATGCCTTGCGTTCAATACGGATGTAGATTTTTATATTGAATGCGAGGTTACTTCCAAATACGATTCTGCTTTCATTTCCCCACATTATGCCAATTTTTTGGTATAGGATGATTCTTTAGGCTCATGTGCAGGGGCATGCATCCTATTTCTGGCTAAGTAAAAGTTAAAAATCTGCCAAGATTTTTAACCTAATTGATGCAATGTATCGCACGCCAGTACGACCACATCAGAGAGCTTGAAGAATCAGTTTAAGAATATATATTATTGGCTCAAGTTAAGAGTCTACTAACTTTAGGATCTCAAAACTGCCCATATTCTACACATACATCTTTTAACACTCGAAGGAGTGCTTTCGGATTCTTTGACTATACGCCCGAGTGACATGGTAACTTTTGTTAACTGACAAGTTAGAGAAAAAAAATCCCTGATAGAGGCGCTACTTACATCTTTGCTGGTTTCGATTTTTAGATATTTTGAATAGTCTGATGCAAGTTGTTCAAAATTGAATTCACTTTTGTCGGAGGCCATGGCAGCAGAAGTAGTTGAGTGTAATGCCAAGTCGGATCACGCTGAAATAAATAACTAAGGACGTCTTCGAGCTAGGCAAACTAGCACCGCAAGCTGAAGGATATTAGAGCACTAATAAAAGTAACACCGAAAAAGAAACTAACACTCGAAAATCAGAAAAAAAGACATGACATGCCAACGAAACACAATAACACAATCGAACACAACAAAATAAATCAAAACAATGATCAGCTGTTCGCACTTCGCGATTGAGCGTTTTTGCAGGCAAAGACCCCCTACGATGTGCAGGCGATCACAGAGCGGGAGTAGCTGGTGGAGCGTGCGTGCAGCTCGCTCGGACTCCATGATTCTGCTCTGTTGCTCTCTCCTCTCCCCTACTCTTTGCTCCTAATGGCGCCAAGCACAAATTTCACTCGCGGAGAAAAATTAAACTACTCAGCTCAGGGAATTGGCATTTTTGATTGAGATTAAATTTCTAAACGAGTCCAACCCAAGTCAACCAGGGTAATTCTCAAAATACTTTGGCAAGATA